ATTCAAGCAAATTGGTACAGTTAATGAAAGCAACTTACCTACTATTACCAAACTTAAGTGTATCCTTTTCTAATAGCTCATAGTATCTCTGGGGCTCAATCCGATTTTCCTGTACACAAGTGAATGTCATCAAACCATAGGGAAACCAATCATAGCCTCTACATAATCTATACACGAAGAGACTAGAAATGCAAATCATGACTCACATTAATGAAAGTACCATTAGTGCTTCCAAGATCCATTACGTACGGCCTATAGACCAATTAAACAGGCGATTGTAAGTAAGGTATCTATAAATTCATATGTCAAAAACTTGTACCAAAGAACTGACCGCTATAGTCGCACCTTACTTGCTTCGATGAAGTACCATCGGGATTGTCTTTCTCAACTTGCCTATAATCCAAATAACCAGAAAAAAAAATTTAAAAAAAAAAAAAAAAGTCAAATATTGAAGTTGAATTAGTACTTGAGAGATTATATTGTACCTGTACTGGAGGACAGCATGTTGCTTGCTGCAAGATGGGTGATCCGTAGGAATGTCTGCAACCCTCCTTTCTCTCCCAAAAAGATAACNCACCAAATAAAGAATATAAGAGATATTCCCTCCATTTGAAATGGCATGTATTCCATCTTGACTGCGCCAAAATCCACTTTAATAATTTAAATTAAAAGTTCAAAGACACACCCTCAAACTAACCATATATAAAAGCGGTATGTTTATCCGGCTCAATGAAACATGCGCAGCCAACATTTTTAGGGTCAATTAGACATACCTCTCCTGTAGTAACCAAGTGACCCCGTCACACTCTCATCTAGTTTAAGAAACGAGAGACTACCCCTCTACTTTAACATATGGCTCGAGTTTAGCAAAGCTTTTTATGGTATCATAATAAGGACCAAGGCATTGGCATTTTCTGATTTTTTTTTTCTTCCCTTGTTTCTCAAAGAATGGAAATTTGTAAGACTGTATAGGTCATGACCTTAGACGTATTACAGAATTGGATATAATGCATGAATCAGTTGCAAAAATACAAGAAAAAACCTAACAAAAGAATGTCATCAGAGTGATTGGGTCAAATTATTCTCAAAATGGATACCATCCTAAGTGACTCTTAGCGAATACAGGTTTCTGGAATTTTACAAACTAAGAGGAAGACCATCTAGTTTTGTTAAACTACTGGGAATCTCACATAATCCTACCATATTTCATCTTTAAAGGCAAGCAAAAGTCAGATAGGACATTAAACTTGAACCAAGTTTACACTTGAATTACTAGCAGTGGCAGGTGGAATGGATGCCATCCATGGATTATGATTTCTACTGACCACATTACAACAAACAAAGACATATATCAGTAGGCAGATATGAATGATATGTTCAGCGTCCCCCCCAAAAGAAAAGGAATGCACGCGTACTTGGTAGGTGCAAATGATACATATAATGCATCTCAAGAAGCAGGCTGTCCCAACACTATGATTATTAAACAAATAAAAAGGAATACAATGTGCTAATTATTGGCAAATTGACACTACAATTTAAGAAGGCACATATAATACATTTGTTAAATTTTGAGTATTACAAGTCAACGAAAAATAAAATAATTAAAAAATAAACGGAGCCACGTATGAAGCAATTCAAAAGAAACATACACTACGATGGAAGAATGAATAAATAGAAGGATCCAGCAAATATACCATTAAGGACTTCACCACCCTTAAAAACATACAAGCGCCATCGTACGTCGGGTTTTCTAGCATCTGGTGGCTCATTAAAGAGAAGTGTTATACCTGGCATGAAACAGCACACAATGAGGTACGGCAGATATAATACAAAGGCTTATTCCCTTTGTTAGTTGACAAACACAAAACCAAGATATGCTATCTTTGTCCTCTCATGCTTGAACATAAGGAGTTAACAAGTTCTTCATTTTCTTCTCAACCATTTCTGTTTAAAGATATCCACAGCATATGTTAACAGTTAACATCTTGTTACCTGTAATATGGACAATCATTAAACTGTATTAGTTTGTGAGGCGATCAAGCTCGGAAAGCTACAAGCTGAGAAGGCCTCGAGCAATGCAAGCTCGAGAGCTTCACGGGCTCACTTGATCCAGTTACCTATACCTCAAAATCTAGCTTTGGGTTTCAGTAATTTGTTGGCAGCAAGGTATACATCAAGGTTATGCATTTTAATTCCAAAATCCATCAATGCTCAAACTTAAAGATAAGATACTTGAGATTCTGGGTGAATTTTCTGTCAAAATCAATTTGTATGGTCTTTTATGCCCAAAAACATCATGTTCTGAACGCGACCAGCTGCTCTAGGCAGCAAACAATGACTTTGTGGAACATAAATGAACTTTGCTTATGAAAAATGAGCAGATCAAAATAATTTCCGTTCATTCCAGAGCATGTTCTGCCAAAGCCATGAAGCCGATTAAGGTGGAGTTGTTTTAACTGCAGTGATAATAGAACGATGAACCTGAAGATTTTTTTATAAAATTACAGAATAAGCTTGATGGGCAGATTACCCGAAAATACACTGAAAGTTTGAAGTGTACTAACTCGCGGGAGAGAAGGACAATATAACTTGCAAAAGAAGTGGCTGCAATTAAGAATGTAAACTTTTTCATCAAGTGTAATCCTTAAGCAACTTGAGTCACTGACCTCTTACTCGATTAGTTTCTGCTGCAAGCTTTCCAGAGAGCTCAAACGAAGGCTTGTCCTGTACATCATAGCACCAAATAATTATGTTAGTACTATCAAGTAATAAAGCTACTAATCAGAATTCAGAAGGCACTGAAGATCCACATATCTGCATAACAAAAATAAGTTAAAAGCGAGATTAAAATTTTAAACACAGATCATCCTCACCCCAGCATCAGGAAGGACAAAACCCTTTTTTAAATTGTAATTTAAAGCAAAAATTAAGAAAACCTCGGGTCTAAATTAATGGAATGCAACTCAAGTTAATTTGGGAAGAAATAATACTTTATTTTTAGCTTGCAAGGCCTCCTCTGCCGCCTGCATTTTAGATAAGGAGTCATCATCACCATTCCTGGCCAAGCAAAGGGATACTTATTAGCAATTCAAGCCTATATGCTTTTCTTAAATATTCAAGTCTATATGCAAGCGCGTAAAAACCATATGTTTACGCATTAGAAAGTTTTGCACCAAGTAAAAGAGATATTCAAAAATTTGCAATAAGCAACAGCATCCACAGAACAAAATCACTATGTTGTCCCGCTAGGCACAGTACTTTAAGCAAATGTTAGCATCAATATACATAAAAGTACATGGAGTAAAGTAATAAATTCAAAAGTAATGAGTATTGAATTTATCGAATTAAATGCCAAATATATGGTTACATAATCAGTTACTACTGTGTATCAGCAGTAAAACAGGAAAGCCAGGACCCTGAGATTTACTGCTCAATTTTCCATTGTTTAACAGCCTAGTAACAAATATTTAAACTACTCCTATCTCATATTCATGTTAAGCTTTCTGCATTGTAACATTCCAGTATGTTTGAAATATCTGTAGCAATGATGCTAATATATGCACCATTCCCCAGGATTCAAAAGTTTAATTCATTAGAGAATGCAAATTTATCTAAGATGTAATTGTAATGGTTTCTCCTCCGGAATAACCTTGCAGACACACAAAAAATTAAATTAACTTTTTTCTATTAAAACAAATGTAATTGTAGTCAAGCTAACTCCTTGATCTCCAGGATTAGCGATGATGCTAATATATGCACAATTCCCCAGGATTCAAAAGTTTAATTCATTAGAGAACTCCTTGATCTCCATATATTAGCGATGATGCTAATATATGCACCATTCCCCAGGATTCAAAAGTTTAATTCATTAGAGTGCAAATTTATCTAAGATGTAATTGTAATTGTAAGGATTAGCGATGATGCTAATATATGCACCATTCCCCAGGATTCAAAAGTTTAATTCATTAGAGAACTCCTTGATCTCCATATATTAGCGATGATGCAAATATATGCACCATTCCCCAGGATTCAAAAGTTTAATTCATTAGAGAATGCAAATTAATTTTTCTATTAAAACAAATGTAATTGTAGTCAAGCTAACTCCTTGATCTCCAGGATTAGCGATGATGCTAATATATGCACCATTCCCCAGGATTCAAAAGTTTAATTCAAGCTAACTCCTTGATCTCCAGGATTAGCGATGATGCTAATATATGCACCATTCCCCAGGATTCAAAAGTTTAATTCAAGCTAACTCCTTGATCTCCATATATTAGCGATGATGCTAATATATGCATCATTCCCCAGGATTCAAAAGTTTAATTCATTAGGGAATGCAAATTTATCTAAGATGTAATTGTAATGGTTTCTCCTCCAGAATAACCTTGCAGACACACAAAAAATTAAATTAACTTTTTTCTATGAAAACAAATGTAATTGTAGTCAAGCTAACTCCTTGATCTCCAAACACAATTTAATCTACTCATAAAAAGCGACAGGAGAGAACAAGTCTAAACCATATTGCTCAAACAAGCATGAGAATGATGGCAATTTACTCCAGAACGTTCAAATTCAGCAACTCACCTGAGTTCACCTCTCCTTGAGCTTGTCATCTGTAAAACACACACCAAATAAGACCATTGTATTATAGCATTCAATTAAGAAGCAACTGATATTAACATAGAAAACTGCATGGAAAAGCAAAGTTTCGATAGAGGTAAACAAAAAAAGAACTTTAAAACTAAAGCAAAGGGTAAATTATTCGATTATGAATGCAGCAGTTATATGATAAATCTCTCCTGAAGTTGTATAGGAGATCTTTACTGTGTAGACCTCGATAAAATTGTACAGAAATTAGAGATGGTGTGTTGTTGCAATTCAAATCTACAAATTTTCTTTGATATTTGTTTAGGGATGCAGTTACAGTTTTTAACACACCTCATCCAATTTGAATGAACTTGTCTGACCATAAAATGAATAGGTCAAAACTATACTACTATTGTTGTTCTGCAAATTGTAAAAAGAGCATCTTATGCAAGGATTTCCATAAGAATCAACCAGAAAAATTAAGCATTTACATCTTTCATTATTACTGTTACCATTCTCAAAAAAAAATCTTTCATTATTACCCTGCTTCCCCGGTCTACAAGGGGAGATAACTAAAAGGAAAGAAAACTCAGTGGCGAATTGCATTATAAGTTTTGAGGTTTGTCATAGGCAAGTGAAACGCAGATATCATTTGTTTCACATAATGCTAAAGGTCACGAAATGTGATCGAATATCACCAGACACCTCATCGCGTGCTCTCGTGTCCGCTGCTGCAGGTGATCTCGATCTGTGCCGACTCCTATGCTGACGTTCTGAAGGTGAAGCTGATCGACCATTTCTTGACTTAGAAGATCCATTATCCAGTGCATCCTTTCCTGATCTTTTCTCTCTCCTTTCATTTTGCACCATTCTGTCAGAATCTTTTTCCTTATGTGTAGCCCTATCACTAGCTCTTCCATGATTTCTCTCGGGCTCCCGTATCTTCAACTTTTCTTCAGTCTCTGGTTCTGCTCTCCTTAGTCTTTTAGTTCGTGGTGACGGTGAACGGGACTCAAGCACCGTTCTGTCATAATCCTTTTCCCTATGTGTAGCCCTATCACTAGCTCTCCCATGATTTTTCTCAGGCTCTCGCTCCCTCGAGTTTTCTTCAGTCTCTCGTTCTGCTCTCCTTAGTCTTTTTGTTCGTGGTGACGGTGAACGGGATTCAGGCACTGTTCTATCAGAATCCTTCTCCCTATGTAGAGCAGCCCTACCACTAGCTCTCCCATGGTTTTTCTCAGGCTCGCGCCCCCTTGTCTTTTCTTCAGTCTCTTGTTCTGCTCTCCTTAGTCTTTTTGTTCGTGGTGAGGGTGAGCGAGATTCAGGAGACTGCAACTTGGCACGTCTAGGAGACCTGACTCGGCCTGAAGACTTCTCTACCTGTAACAACCTCGAATCAGGAGACCTTGACTTAGCTCGTTTGGGAGACTTCGTGCGACTCGAGGGTTTCTCTCTGACTGGGGAGTGAGATGCAGGGGAGATTGATTTTCTGCGCTTTGGGGACCTATTGCGACTAGATGGCCTCTCTGTTGCAGGTGAAAGAGGAACAAGAGATCTTGACCTTGCACGTCTCGGGGACCTATTACGGTTTGAAGGCTTCTCTGCTACAGCTGAACTTGCAGCATGTGAACTCTTTTTCCGAGCAGGTGACCTTTCCCTGCGTGAAGGGCTCCTCTTACGAGGAGATCCACGACCCCTGGCAGGTGATCTAGAGTCACTGCGCCCCATAATAGAGGTCAAATTGACGGATGAATTTTCTGAGGCAAAAACTACAACAAAAAAAAAAACATAGGATTAATCCTCCAGAAACACCATAAGCAAAACCAAATCAAAATTATTCGATAAAAAATATATAATTCATCACTCTTTAGTCATCTTATCCATCTCAAGCAAAAAGAAAAAAAAAATTACCACTTTTTAACAATACTAAAGATTTTGAAAGAACTAACAAATATACAAATACATTCTGCACAATATGCTTTCATATCCTAAGAAATACAATACTCCCTTCGTTTCAATACTCTCTGTTTCCAACTACACTAGTAATGTTATTGTATGTAACTTTCACTTGTTTCCAGCTTCAACCTTTATACTTAGGTTCGATATTTTCCCATAAGAAGCTACATTTTTTTACAAAAGGTTGTTCTATCACTGATAAAACAGTAGTTTAGAGGTAATTCCGTACACTAACCTTGTTCTGCTAGTTGAAAAATTACAACCTGAGGGCTTAACAATGATCAAATGGCCAACATACGTTGTTACCGCGCAGCATTTACTGATCCGAACGAAAAAAAATTCCAATTTGAGCTTCGACAGAAAGAACCATAAGTATATAATTCAAAAAATACGCAATTTGCATCGAATAAAAGAAAAATATTTCAGCACTTCGAAGTCAACAAAGAAAAAACCTTAAAAAACGTTAATTTGCTAGTAAATAGTTGGCAGTGGGAATGTTAGCAGTTCATAAGCGTGAAGAAATGGAGTTTTACCCAAAGCTGAGGATTAGGGTTTGCCGCGCATTGGAAGTTGGAAAACGGAGAAAACAGAGGAGAAAACGATAGTGATGAGAGTCTCGGATCTTCGGGTTTTGGGGCTTCTGGGCTAGTTATATTGGGCTTCTTACAGTTTGGTTAGGGAGAAGTGAACAAATAGTCACTATTTAATTACTATTATTTAAAATTTAGCCATTTTATGATAAGTAAATAAATTTTGGGTACAGAAGTAAGCAATGGAAGTACAAACAAAAGGGCAGCCTTTAGTAAGGTAGTTTTCGTTGAGCAAAACGATTGAGCATGATGTATAATTCAACTAAAAGAAAACAAGAAGCACCTAAGGGTAGGGATGGAAGTCGGTCGGATCGATTCGATTTTTATAAAATTCGATTCGATTCGATTTATTTCACTTTTGCTTTTTGATGTGTTGCATCATTAACCGAATCGAAATTAGTTGGACTAATTCGGTGCGCCAAATGTAATTCTCCTTCACAAATTAGGAAGGTGACAAAATAAATCTTTGTGTAACATGCAAATTATATACTACTGCTAGATTAACTACCTGTCTAATAGCATGTTTGGTCAAGTTTCTCCAAGCCAAAAGTATTATTTTTCTTAAAGTGATTTTTTTTTCAAAGTTGAAGTGTTTGGCCAAGCTTTTAGAAGAAAAAAAGTGTTTTTGAGGAGAAGTAGAAACAGTTTTGGAGAAGCAGAAAAAAGTAGCTTATCTCCGACAACACTTTGGAGAAAAATACATTTAAAGCAGTTTTTAAAAGTTTGGCCAAACACTAATTGCTGCTCAGAAGTGCTTTTCAAATAAATTAGTCAAACAAAAACTGCTTTTCGCCAAAAGTACTTTTGTAAAAAACACTTTCGAGAAAAAATACTTATCAAAATAAGCTGAATTTTGCAGCTTGGCCAAACTGGCTATAAGTCGAAAGAAGAAGATTCTTTGTTGCATATGACTACTCTCCAATATGCATTAAGACCTGCGGAAGAGCGACTATCTGATTTACTTACAAGATGGGATATTCAAAGATGAACAACTCTAGGATTATATCAAGATTCTGGTACCAATAGTAGTTAATTCTATAACCAAATAAATGCAATCCAAATTCTATCCCGAGATTAATGTTCCTATTTTTATAACCAAATAACCCCTGGTGGTTTTAGCTATACATGGTCATAATTTCGTTCACTATCAAATCTTTGTGACTTCAAATTTGCACTTTACAAGATAAATTGAGTTTTTATTATACTTTTAGGGGCCATTTGGTACGCGGGATAAGGTGAGATAAAGTGTGGTACTAAAGTTATACTATGTTTGATTGACAATATAAATTTATACCGTCAACCAAACTAAGTTTATCGGGATGAATTTATACCGTCAACCACACATAGTATAAACTCAAGGATCGTTTGGTTGTCAGTTAGAGTTATGCAAGTATTAGTTATACATGTATTAGTTATGCAAGTATTAATTATGTATGTATTATTTATGCACGAATAAGTAATGCCGGGATTAGTTATACATACATTAGTTATGCAAGGTTGAGTTATGTTGGGATTAGTTATGCATGAATTAGTTATGCGGTAGTTATATAAGGATTAGTAATATAAATGTAATGTGAGTGTTATTTATTAGTAGCTTACTTTATTTTATTAAAATTGTTAGTATAGTTTAAATATATATTTTTAAACAAAAAATACAAGTTTGAATAAAGGGTATTCTTGTCATTTTGTATTTTAATACAAGTATTACTAATACATGTATAAGTTATTCTACATTCTACCCTGCATAAATAATACATAGATTCTCTCATAACTTATATATGTATTAGTTATGCGGAAAAGAAAAACATGAACCAAATATTGTATTAGCAATGCTACATTTTATGTGAAAAAAGAGGGAAAAACAACAAAAGAATGTATAACTTATGCTAACTTCTATGTAGAGATTATTTTTTCCCCTTCTTTTAACCAACACAATGTATAAAGTTATCCTAGTGTTAACACATGGATAACTTCTCTCTAACCGGCTACCAAATGACCCCTCAGTCCCAAACTTAATCCTGGTCTTATCCTACCTTATCCCATCAAACTTGGTATTATTTTATCTCACGTCCAAGATGGGATAAATTAGTCTACAAAATTATAATTTTAAAATAATAATCCCGAAATAATTTAGTCCACTCAGGTCATTTACATAGTTACAATTGGAAATAAGACTTTATCAAATTTAAAACCAACCATATACTAAAGTCTACACTACTATAAGTTATAACAGTTTTACTTGCTCAATATTAAAATTTGAACATTTTATATAAGCTAGTATCTATAAACGTGTGTTGCACGTTAATAATTGCACATGATGGTTTAAATGTTTGTTTATATGAAGTAACAGTAAAATTTAATTAACGAGAGAAACTTTACATATAATAATACAACAATCATCTAAATGCCGAAAAATATTGTTACATTAGCATAATACGTGAATTCAAAATGAAAGGACAACATCATAACTTACACAAATGATCAATTTTAGTCATGTTAAGTAGATAATTATGTATTGTAGTTTAAAGGTATGTAATGTGATGGTATCTTACCAAACACTTCTTTATAGACGATATTTTTTTGTATATATTTCCTTCTAATGCTTTGGTCGCTCTGCCATAACCAGAACTCTTGTTGTCGATATTGATATCTCTATTGGAAATGCAACATATAGTTATTCGTGTAAGAAAATATATTATTGTAAATATAGTCCAATATTTAGGATGTTTGTCCTTGTGCTTTATTTATTATAACTACAAAATATAAACATACTAAAAATTATTTTCACACAAATTTAAAAGGATATTCTTTAGTTTCGGAAGACGAAAGTTGAATTTGGGAATAAGCACATACTTAGAAGCATATTGACCAGTGTCATAGGTTCTGCATGTATGGCGTTATTGTCAAAACTTCTATATACCATATGTTTACTATTACATGAGCTATTCATCGGATCTAAGTTTTCAGTAGCATGACGGGCATATTTTTCTTCAAAATCAACCTATATGCAATGAAAAATTAATTTTAACTCAGTCAACTATATATATGGTGACATTAACATACGTAAGAAATAATGAACTTGATAACAAACATGTATGGTAGAAAGCCATTTGGTATTAAAGTATTTAAGTATTCTTCTTCGTAGTAACTGTTGGTATCATATTCTGATGAGTCAAAACTGAAAAATATTTTATTTTTACCGTAAAACTTAGCAATCAACCTTTTATTTAGTTGATCAACGTGTTTTGCTAGCTAAGATAGCTCTTTAATTTCTATCATGTAATTTGTACAATTTGCGTTTTAATCTAATGATGGAAATATTTTTCTTATTAAATCAACTACTATTACTATTGGGATTGATAACCAAGCGTTCTAGAACAACCAAATCATCTTTTATTAGATTTTCTTCTTTGTTCCGACACGAAGCTAGAAGTCATTGAATGTTGGGTCTGTTCTTACTTTTATATTTCTTGTCATCTGAATATTTTTCATTTGAGGCCATAAGTATAATTTTGGCAAGCTAACTTTTACAGTTTCTGCTTTCGTCAATTATGGAACTACTGATCGTACTTGACATAAATCACCTCCCAAGCTATTACTTTTCAACCTAACGGTTCATTGATATCCAATATATATATATATATATATATATAACTCCGTGTAATTATTTCGGTCGTTTGACGCTTAGCCTAAAGCGCTTCATCCCATATTATCACTTTTGCTTTCCTTATAAATTTAGCACTATTGCACGAGTTTGATATATTTGTGATGGTTATTTCAGTTCTTTGAAGAGATACATCAAATCTAAAGTGAGTTGTATGGCCTCATAATAAAATCGTTGTTGGTACACCACTTGTTCTTATTGCTAACAATATCATGCTCCTTGATCTGATATTTGCAAGTAATACATGACATATGAATATTATTTCAATTCCGCCGAAAGCATCTACAACGGATAATCCCGCTATACCACAGTCGACTTCTTATAATATAGTGTTGAAAATTTATTCCTATTCAGGATTTAGCTTTGATTGTGCTTCCTCAAACACTTGTATCGCATTCTTACTATTATTCTAATCTTTTTTTACTTTGTGATCTAATTTTTTAAATCTCTAACACTCTTTTATGGAATAAATTTATGTATTTCTTTTTAACTTGAAAAATAATTTTACTCATGTGATGAATTTAAAAAATAATTTAATTGGATTCTCTTGCTAAATAATTAATTGAAAGATTTTATTATTTAGTTGTAACATAAAATATAATTTATTTTCTGTTGATTCAGATCCTTAATATTAATTCATCTCATGTTTAAATATGTAACCGTAATTATAATTTTATCCACAATAAATTTTATTTTCAAAGAGTAAAAAGATCGATATGATATCCCACTTTTAGATCTTTATATTTGCAAAATCATTAGCGGTATTGGCTCTTACCAACCTTTTTTTTCTTCTTTTTTTTCTCACACATTTATATTCTTAAAAAATTTCTTAGTTGTTCTTTAATAATTGGGTATATTTTTTTATATTTCACGAAAAATTAATAATAATAAAATATTATTTGAGTATGAAAGCAGTTCAAATACAATATAATAATATATTATCATGGGTATTTGTTTCTTAATTTCAACACGTTATGCAGTCCGTTTAACATTATTTTTATTTTTTTCTTGGTATTGAATATTATAGAGTGGTAATGTATTACCAATATGGAGGATTATTATGAAATTAATTTTATTAAACCTTCGTACATATTTTTAATAATAATTAAATAGACAAAATTGCATTAATTTTAAAATCTTAAATATTAAAAAAATTAACTTAAAAGTTATTATAGTCCAAAAAATAAAGTTATTACAGCTATGTCCTTTCCCTATGAGTTATTCAGTTTAATATTTTAGGGCTATTTTGGTATATCAATATTATATTTATTCTTTTATAATAATATATAGGCTCTTATGTTTCTAAATAGATTTAGACAATATAACACGTTTTGAAATTAAATTAGTAATATGAGTTTTTAAGAAGTATATCCTA